ACCAACTCTGCGCTACAAGGATGTCTGCAAGCGTGACTTGAAGACCTGCAGCATAAGCCCTGGAAACCTTGAGTCAGCAACAGCCCACCGTACACTCTGGCGATCGACTGTCAAGGCCGGCGTCAAACAAGTCGAGTTGAAGAGGGAGAGCCAGTGGGAGGTGAAGAGGACTCGCAGGCGACAGAGGCTCCAGTCTGCCCCCATTCAACCAACCCCCACAAATGACTTTACCTGCGCAAAATGCCAGCGGGTCTGCGGCTCCCGTATTGGGCTTCACAGCCACAGCCAGTGGTGCAGCTTGACGTGATTCTACTTCTTAGGTGCAGATTTCCATTGTCTTCCGAGACAGACGGTTGCCAACATTATATAACATTCGGCGGCATCTGGCAAAGTTTTTAATGAATCCTCTGCTCTAAAAGGTTCGCCTGAGATCGTTTCAAAAGTTTAAAAAAAAAAAACTAACAGCGGTAGCTCACCGAAAATGCTTCAAAATGACGTAAAATGCACGCGGGCTGATAGTCAAGGGTACAACAACGAAGATTTCAGAGGCAAACAAACAGGGACATTCCGTGTTACAAAGGGCGGACTCCTTCTATTCGCCTTGGACATACTGGCACCGACCTTGAAGTATGGCTTCAAATGATTATCTCTCATAAGGCAGATAACAAATAACATATTTTAAACCGAGGGTACAACAATGAATATTTCAGAGGCAAACAAACAGGGTCAGTCAGGGTTACAAAGGGTAAACCCCCTTCAATCGGCTTTTGACATGCTGGCACCGAGCTTAAAGTATGGATTCACATGATTATCTCTCGCTGGGCAAATAATATAGGGCATCTTTTAATACCCAAGAGTAACTTAGTTCTATAGTTATATAACTTATTAGCCTTGAAACTTACTCTGCCAGTTTTGCAGGCCAGAACTGAGGAATCGCTCGCTTCCACCGAGTTCCATTCGGAAAGAAAAAGAACGAAAGCAAAGTCTATAATACTTCCTTAATTACATTATTAACTGATGTTGTCAATTTAGAGTCTGTTTATGCCATATTGAACCTTCGTGCTTTGTTAGTTCATTATAAAAACAGACACGGACAACGTTGTTACAAAAGCAAGGAATGCTTTTGCTTTCGTCAAAAGCATTTCTTAGGTCAAAATGGGCGGACAGCCAAGCTTCAAAGATTACATAAACCGTCGGAAAAAGGTATAAATTTGTATACACATTGTCTGGCAGATGAGACATTCAATTGATCATTGTCTGTTTGGCTTGCGTAATAACTTTGGCGAAACAAGGAGGGTCGCTACAAGTTTGATTCAACGACAAGACACACCTCTTGGGCGGTAACATCGCTCGTTGCTCGACTTTGCGAGGCGGATTATAAGATGCCTCATTCAAAGCAAGTAAGTGAATTGTGGCTGACGTAGCTAATAGAATAGGCGGGTTAAGTGCCTCTCAAGAAAATCTTTTTCTCCTAATAGTTTTTGATATTTTTCTTTCCATTATTTAGGTTTTTAGCCGATACCATGAAGATGACATGGCTTATGGAGGGCTGTGTCAATGGTCATGCGTTCACCATCGAAGGAGAAGGCACTGACAAACCTTACGAGTAAGTCTATGTGAGATAACGATCAACCTGTAAATTCTCCTTTTTGGATGAATGCATTGCTGGTCTAACCAAAGCAAATTTGATTATTTCAGTTATGTTTCTTGTGGCCGTTTGTGTCATCTGCGTATGGCTGTCTTCGAAAAAGGGGAAATGTCACGAAAATAGTTATATGCTACTTCAGTGATTTCCTTCATAAAATACTACCATATCGAAAATCCTCTCCATCTGAATATTTCAGAGGCAAAGAAACAGGGACATTCGGTGTTACAAAGGTCGGACCACTTCCTTCCCCCGTTGACATAGTGGCACCGATCTTGAAGTATGGATTCAAATGTTTTATGAAGTACCCCGCAGATATTCCTGACTATTTCAAGCAAGCATTTCCCGAGGGTTTGACATACGACAGGAAATTAACATTTCAAGATGGAGGGTGCGCCACGGCCTCTGTGAGAATGAGGTGAGTAATTCTTTACTGTTTACCTTTCAGTCACCTTTTTAACTTGCAGATTGCACAAAGGTCTTTGATACATAAGGGAACGTTTCTAATTAAGAGTATCCCTTGTGAATGACCAAAAAACAAAAATCGTATAAATTTTCTTGCATATTCTGCAACACTGCACAAAGATTCACGACGGATTTCCATGATGAAAGACATCATGGAAGCCTCAAAACTAACCTAAATTTTTTTTTACATTCGTCATTTTGTTCCTTTGCGGCTTATTTTTGTCTTCTATCATTTATGAACTATGATTTAGAGGTTTTTTTTCCATTGAAATCTTGTTATCTCGTAAGGTGGACTCAAAATGTATGTTTTATTCATTTTGCGTTCTGAAATGCTTCCTACTTTGACAGCCTCAAAGGCAACACTCTTGTTCACAAGACCAATTTCCAAGGAGACAACTTTCCCATCGACGGGCCTGTCATGCAAAACAAGACGCTTGGCTGAGAACCAACCTCGGAGAAAATGACTCCATGTGATGGAACAATCAAGGGAGACACTATCATGTACCTTTTGGTCGAAGGAGGGGAAATGCTGAAATGTCGATATGAAAACAATTAAAGGTAATTACAATGGCTTCGACTGCTGTGTATAGACATGTACACATATATTCAGAAGCAGTGCACCCGAATTATTTTATTTTATTTTATTTTCATTAATTACAACTCGAACGCACTGTTCGGAAATTATCTTCATCTTTGAGTTTACCAGAGCGTCGAAGTAGATGACTTAATTACTAAACTTCTCATTTCAGAGAGAACTCACGGATCATTCTTGTTTTGTTTTCTTTTTTCCGCCAAAGCCAAGAAGGTGATACACAAGATGCCACCGAGCCATTTTCTGGATCTCCGCCTTGTCAGAACCAACCTGGATAAAGAAGGTTCGAAGTTTCAACTGGAAACAGTTGTGGCAGGAATCCTCGAAGCTTGAGGATTACAGGAGAGTCACTATCATTGTGAATTTCAACATTGCTTATGCAGCAACATAAGATGAATAAAGAAGAGCGTTTTCAATCTCAAATGTACGTCGGTTTTCCATGTTTTTAAACTTTCGACTGATTATGAGGAGTTATGAAAGGGAAAGAACCAAATCCCTGCCGTTATTATTCGTTGCTTGCAGAAAGTGCATAAAGTTCGCTTCACAGTTGTCAAGGCCCAAATTTTTCCTACACTGATCTATGGTGATTACATAATTTTGATTTCAACTTTATAAATCACTTTACCTTTCAACCTCTAGACACTTTCCCATGAAAAGATAATATAAGTTCAAGGAACTTTAAACTTCCTACCCTTAAACACTAAATTGATTCATGCAGCTCTCCATGAATAAACTCTCCCCTTGTTGGAGTAATTGTGTGGGATGACCTCCATCGTTGAACCAAGAGTCGTAACACCTAAATAAAGTCAATTCACAAATTCCCTGCTTCGGCCAATAAGATTTTACAATTTTGAACAAGACAAAAACCTTGGGTATGAAATAAATGATATTACATGGCCGCACAGAGATAAGAAATTTGTCTTCCAGTGTTTAAAAATATTTCACGAGTGAGCGAACATGTTATCTTTACCATGTGAAGATTTCACTTTTCGTGTGAAAGCGTATAACTACTTGGTATTTCATTGGTGTTTTGCATCATAGGTTTCGTTGAGATATTTCATTCTTTATTCGATACAAATCTCGCTCTGTCTCTACTTTTAGCTTGGCACCAGCTTTAACCGAAGTACAAACATGAAAGCCTGAATTTTAAAAGAATGAAATCTAATTAAACAAAACCATATTTTTACTCATGATCGAAGTATTACATTTTTATATCTCCAGTCTTACTGTCATAATGTCTTATTGTATTGCTTTTAATGAGAATCTATTTTATTTCATGTTTGGTACAAGCGTGTGTTATTCTTCGCGTTGGTTCATTGCATGTGCAATATCCTCTAGACCAAAACTTTCGAAAACAATTTCTACTTGGGAAGATCTTTTTCAATTCTTCCAATTTAAATCGAGATGTAATACTTGAGGTCTCTGTAAGAGCGGTCCAGGGCATTTCGCATGGGAACAAAGTTTTCCCTCAAACTTTTCCCAATAAATTATCTTTTGTAGCAGGTAAATAAAACCACCTTATTTTCTGGAGATACGTTAAAAATAAAATTTTTGAGCTCTCCATAATCAAAGCTGCAAAAGGCCCTCTTACGACATCGAAAATTTCAATAGTTTAAAAGCCCGGTCCTCGTACCACGCTGCAAAAGTCTTTTGTATTCTTAAACTGTGTGATATGTAAGGTGTATAAAAAGCATTTCAGTTTGATTTTCGTTTATTCAGGGGTTCGTCATTTATAATCCTTTATAAACGCTTCTTTGAGAGCTTTCTGAAGTTGACCAAGAGTACTTTCTTTCTTGTTTGATATTGCTCAAATCCAGATAAGACCACCAAAAACTCCACTTGATTTCATAGAATAAGATGTTTGAAAGCAGAAAAATATAAAAACATCTGGAATTTATTAATTTTCTTTGCCCTGCTGACTTCAAACACTCAGCGATTTAATTAGAGTGACAGCCAACTATCAAATTTGTTCATTGAGCAAATTCCGACCGTTTTAAATAAGGAGCTTAATAAACTGAGCGTTAAACGAGACTTACCTGCAAGTTGAAGTTTGATAGGAATTCAGTTGAGTCATCATGCGGTTCTAGGGATCACATGAGATTGTGAAATCAACTTTGAAAGGCGAAAAAATTATAAATTGGGTGGGTTTATTTCATACGCAAATAAGGGTGGGCATGTGATCCCTAATACCTCGCGATGACTCATAAGAATTACCATAAAGCTTTAACTTGTGCTAAATTCTCATGTTCTCGGATTGGTTTTTAGTAATACTTTGCAAAGGTACAGTGTCCTGACCAACTAGCAGTTCGGAGAATGGTATCAAGAAGTACCTTAGCCAGTGCAGCTGCACTGGTTGATGATACCCTAACACTATGAGGTTTAAAACGGCTTATGTTAATACCAAAAGTGCTCTTAACCTAACGAGATATAGTGTTAATACTCTTAGTAGCTGCTTTGTATGGTTTAACATATGTAACAAATAGACTTGTAATACCCTTACGAAAGTGTTTGGTACGTTCTAAATATTCTTTTATAATAACAATAACACAGAGACTAGCGTCTGAAGGATAACCTGGGAACTCCAGCTCTTGTCTAGGTTTGGTTTGCTTTAGTTTGTGTCCAATTGAGTACGTCCAACAACAAGTTTTAAACGTCCAAGAATTGGAGAGTTTGGCACCTCTCTGTGCTGATAACTTTGCAGCATTTTTTTATGTGAACAATTTCAATGTTGATTCCTTAACTGGAGTCAAAGTCTTCAAATTGTTTAACAACCTAGAGGGGTCCCAGGTGACAGTATATCTTGCTAAAGCAGGTTTTTGCTGAAAAACCCCTTTAAGAAAGTGCTTCATAATTGGTAGTTCTCCAAATGAACTCCTGAAGAAATAGGTAATACCTGAGATAAGGAAGATCTAACTGTGTTCGTAGCACTGTAGCCCGGGCCTGGTTAAAAAAGATCCATCATAAAATCTAAAGCTTGTGTTGGAGTGGCTTTGAAGGGCACGAGAACAACCACTTCTTGAGGTAAATGGAACACTCCTTCTGTGCACTCCCTTTCTAAGAGTGCAAGATGATTTTGGCAGCTTTTTGCAAAATGCCTCTTGCTGTGTGAGAGTTCCTGATGACTT